ATCCTCCGCCTTACGGCGCCGGCACACCGGGTTCTAGTCCCGGTTGGGGCGCCAGATTCTGTGCCAGTTGCCCTTCTTCCAGGCCAGCTCTCTGCTATGGCCAGGGAGTGCAGTGGAGGATGGCCCAAGTGCTTGGGCCCTGCACCCCATGGGAGACCAGGAGAAGCACCTGGCTCCTGGCTTTGGATCAGCGCGGTGCGCCGGCCAGAGCGCGCTGGCCGCGGAGGCCATTGGAGGGTGAACCAATGGCAAAGGAAGACCTTTCTCTCTGTCTCTCTCTCTCTCTGTCCACTCTGCCTGTCAAAAAAATAAAAATAAAAAAGAAAGTAATAGGCAGCATATGAGCAAATAAACCTATCTACAAAGAAGGAGGAAGCAATGAAACCTAAAGCCTATCCCTGGACTGAATATTCCAAAGGAGAATGGCTGAACCATGTATAAAAATAAAAACTCTGATCCACAACTTGCTGTAACCTGCTGGGGAACGAACCTGTTGTCTACAATAAACAGCCCAGGACGCCAGCCTCCTGTCAATCAGATTTGCAGGGGGCCAGATTGCTATCTGTAATAACAATCCAGGAAGCTAAACAGTAACTTCTGTAACAATCTACCATAGATGGCCAGAACTTGATTAATAACTGACAGCTTCCTTTCTGTACTTGCTTCCAACTTAAGACCAACTACAGAAAGTCAAATATGCATCCCTAAAAATTACTTCTAGTTAGCCTGCTGACTGCTTCACCCAGAAAAGAGCCTGCTATCAGGGTGTATTTGAAATCCTTCCTTTTTTTTTTCTACCCCATCCACTCTGCTTGCCTTTCAGTCTCTGTCAAAACATAAGTGTCAGTGTGTGGTTAACTCCTTGTTATCGCAAGCTCCGAATAAATGGCTTTGCCTTTCTTTACAAGTTAATTGCCATTTATATCCCCATTATTGAGCATTTATTACAGGTCCATCAATGGACAACATGCTCACATATAATAAAAAGTGTGCATAGGACATATCTTGTGGCCCAGCATTAAGCCACCACTTGGAACAAGCAGATCCTGTATCATATTGGGTAGGGTCATGTTTTGACAACTCTCCCTCTCATCCAACTTCCTGATAATGTGCCTCGGTGGCAGGAGATGATGGCTCAACTACCTGAGTTCCTGCCACTCACATGGGAGACCTGGATGGAGTTCCACACTCCTTTTATTAGAACCAGCCAGATGCTGCTGCTGTGAGTGTTTGGGGAATCAATAAGTAAATGGAAGATATTCTCTCTCTCTCTCTCTCTCTCTCTCTCTCTCTCTCTCTCTCTCCCTCTGTGGGTGTCACTCTGACTTTCAAATAAATAAATAAAACTTAAACAGGTTAATCTTTGCATTATTCTCTGAGAAACCTATTATTAACTCTCATTTTGTAGATGTGTAGAACAGAAGTTTATAGAAATTAAATAACTTCTCCTTTCTCATTTTTCTCCTATTTACATCATGCTGGAGTAAGTACTTCTTGTATATTGTTATGACAAGAATATTGGAGATAATATTAACTTCACTATAATACCAACAGCTGTAAATTTAGTGAGCATTTTCTAATGTTATTTGCATTTGTGTTGACCAAATTTCCAGATAAATTATCAATACTGTATTTTGAATTGACTCACTGCTTTAGTTACAATTTATCAAGATACATATGAATTCAAAATAATAAAATGCACCAGAGAAGCAATAACTTCTATAATTTATTTGCTACTAGAACACAACAGCAGAAATAATTTCCTTGTCTAGTACTAATTGCATCACAGACTTTTCATAGATAATGACTAGGAAACCTTTTAAGAAGATGTGATTATTTATGAGATACAATATTGACAAAGAGAAAAATAAAGATTAAATTTGGGTGATTTTTAAAAGAGGTAATAAATATTCACTAATCTGGTTCTAAAGATATCCTGCAATTTTTTTTTTTTTTTTTTGACAGGCAGAGTGGACAGTGAGAGAGAGAGACAGAGGGAAAGGTCTTCCTTTTCCTTTGGTTCACCCCACAATGGCCGCTACGGCTGGTGTGCTGATCCGAAGCCAGGAGAGTGCAAGGCCCAAGGACTTGGGCCATCCTCCACTGCACTCCCGGACCACAGCAAAGAGCTGGACTGGAAGAGGAGCAACCGGGACAGAATCTGGCGCCCGACCAGGACCAGAACCCAGGGTGCCGGCGCCGCAGGCGGAGGATCAGCCTATTGAGCCGCGGTGCTGGCCCCAATATCCTGCAAATTTTTTAAGATGAATTTATTTATTTGAAAGCTACAGTTACAGAAAGAGAGAGAGATGGAGATACATGGAGAGAAAGATCTTCCACTTCCTGGTTCATTCTCCTAATGCCCACAATGGTCGGATCTGGTCTGGGCTGAAGCCAGGAATCCAGAACTCTATATGGGTCTCCCGAGTGGGTGGCAGAGGTCCTAATACTTGGGCTATCCTCTGCCACCTTCCCATGTACATAAGCAGGGTGCTAGATCAGAGGTGGAACAGCTAAACTTGCAAACAGGCACTGTCATAAGGGAGTCACAGGCAGTGGCTTAACCCACTGTGCTACAGCAAGGCTCCACTCTGCAGTTTTTTAAAGTTAATTGCTTAGCATTCAGAGAAGATATATATTATTGTGCTTATTTCAAAAATGAGGGACAAAGTTGTGGAGGCATCCAGAAAATTACCTAAAGTTTCTTGACTAGTGAGCAGTAAAATCCATATTTAAAAACTGTTATTATTTGGTTTCAAAGTTCGCCAAAAATGCTTAGAAAATATTTGATCAAAATTCACTTTAATATGTTGTCTTAGCACATAATTTGGTAACAGAATCTAAAATTGAAATAATTTATTTTCTAATTGTAAAATAACATGATTTAGTCTTCTAGGAAAGAAGGGGGAGGGAACTGCATTTGTATACATTAGAAATTACCGTAAAAGTTCCACAAAGACAGATTGAAAAAAAATAGTGGCATATAGATGACCAAAAAGGCTTTTTAATGCCTGAATATATTTAAGCACAATTTTTTCCAAAACTGGAAAATAAATCTATAGATGACATTGTTTAAGTAATATTGGTAGAAAAGAAATGATCCCTATAAGTCAAATTATTTCTCAAATGACTTCTATTTCATCTCAATAACTCCATTTTTTTTCTCAAATCTTTATCCTAATTAAAATGAAGACAAATTTGGAATGTGAGAATTCATACAAAAAATCCATACTTTTGGCCTTTATAACCAAATTTTGGCCTATATAGAATGAAGGGGGAAAATTTTTTCTTGAAAATTTACTGTTATAATAAAAAACCATGAATTTGCCACTTGAAATTACAAACACATAATTTGCTATTTTGCATAGTATGCAGAGTTGAGGATACATTTCATTTACATATCTTAAAGATTTCCCTCTTTCCCACAAATTAAACTGGTTATCATTATGTACCAGTTGACTTAATTTTTAAAATTTTTCACTCCTCCCCATTGAGCATATGGGAAGTTTTCAGTTTGGACTACAAAACAAATTTTCCCTAGAATGAAAAATTAATTGAGGTCTCCATCTTTACTTCTTTCTATATCAGATCTTGTAGGTAGAGGTAAATCTGCAAAAGATGTGGGTTGGTTGGGGAATGCATTTGATAAGAAAATTACTAGAGAGTTTCCCAAAGAAGGAAAGTCACAGATGCTAAGGCTCATGCCAAGGAAAAGAGTATATCAAAGAAATAACATGTTCCAATAATTTAGAGACAGCTTACAGTAAAATCCTGTTCTTCTACTGACTAGCTGGATGACACCAGTCAAAACACCTAACATCTCTGCAGTTTTTCTTCTGTAAGATGGGAATACTAATAACATAACCTTCTGGGACAGTTGGAAGGATTCAGAGGGTTATTCATGTCAATAGTAAACTCTAGGTGAGTTTTATTTTTTATCTCTGAAATTCTGAAGTAAAGTTCAGAATATAACTTCATTTTAGAGAATGAGAAGACTGCAAATTTTCTTATGCCGGTGGTCAAGAGAAGTAGGGTGCTGTTTGTTCTACCAGATAGATAATGTTCTTAGATGGACAGGGTAAACTAAGAGAAAGGAATTGCTTTCTAGAAAAGAAAATAAACATCATGTTGATTTTATAAATAGAAGAAACTTATTACAAACACAAATCCCCTACTTTTCCACGTACCATAATGGCCAATGAACATTTGAATGCAGTACTTATCATGTTGTACTTTGTCTGGGTGTGTGAATCTTTCATTAGCTTAGACTCTTGGAAGCAAGAGTATGTCAAACTTCTTTGAATTTCAAATGTGTACTAATGCTTTCTGGGTGGAAGTACTCAATCCATGCTGAATTAATGATGAATAGACTTTTAAAAATAAACAAATGAACAAATGCATGAATTTGACAGCGTTCAGAAAAAGAATGGTATTCATATAGAGTGGGTTTAATATTTAAAAGGAACAAATTATTTTCAGAAGCCTCTTTGAAAACTGAAATCCACATCTAAGGAATGACTCAGCAGGCCTCTCAATATGATTGATTCAGTTCAAAGGATTGCAAAGTTTTCTGTGTTTCTATTTCAAATTGACCGAAAATAGTTAATGTATCTTAAATGAGTGAGAGAGTTGCACTTGCTTTGCTCCTGGACTAAGAAGTCACATCATCTTTTTAAGAAAGAAACCTGGGAACCCTATTCAGTAATATTTTTCATTTATTTAGGATGATATCCAATTTTATTTGAATTAGTTTTTCAAAATTAGGATTTATATCAATTAATGTGGGGAAAACGTTTCTTCTTTGAGAATCTTGAAAGTATTTTAACATACATATTATATTATCCATGCTAGTCTTCCAAAATTGACTGTATTTGGAAGATTTAGTGGGCATGGTTTTTCATCTAGAACTATATGATTGCTATGAAATTTTAGTGCCTATCATCTTTATCCATGATTTCATTTCTCAGAAACAATGATACATGCACATAATGATTTCTTACCCTATTTGAGTCAATTCTTGCTCTGGAAGTATAGATGGGAGGTGGGATGTTGAAAGCCTGAGGGACCAGATACTCCTCAGCATCCATCATATCTTCTAAGTCTTCTTCATCCAAGAGGTTCTGAAAGAACTTGCTGTCATTTGGACTGGGAAGCTTCATGCGATCATCACCCTGAAAGACCGTCCATCAGACACAAAAAATGATTCTTCCCTTCATCCTAAGCATGGGATCTCTGCAGTAAATTTTGGCAATATCAAGACCACAGGTTGAAATGTTCAAGTATGCATTTCAGAAAACATTTTTTTTTTTTAGTAAAACCACTAGCCATAAATAAGCCTATAGTACGCTTAGAGATGAGAGAGTAAGATAAATAAATTTAACAAGAAGAATGTGAGGAGTGACTTTAGAGAGGAATAAAGCAGAAGGCTGTGGATGTTTTGAAGAGTATAAACATCTATTTCAGATCTGAGAATAATGGTTGATTGTCAAGATGGTGTGTGGGTTATGACTTTAAGAACAAATTTAAAAAGTAATAAATTCATCAATTTTTACTTCATTTGGTTGGTTTGGTGCTGTAAAGTTATTGGGATGCTTGGGCTCTGTGATGTGTTCCATAACATAAAGTCTACACTGTCACAGTAGTAGCATTCAAAATCACAGAACAAGTAGAAAATTGAATGAATGGGTGTGAGATGACAAAACCCTCTTATTCTTCTCACCTCATTTATTTATTAACTTATCTTTACTTTTTCAAATTTATGACATATTTTCTAAAAATTTCAGTTAATGAAGGTTAGTTTGAGGGAAAAATATCTGGAAATCATTATCTTCAAAAAACTGCTTTTATCTTCATATCAGCCTATTGATATGAAGATAAAGAAAGCCTCATTTTACTGAATGAGCATAATTCAGTGTATCTAAAGTCCATTTGATTATAGTTTTGGTGAAAATATTCAGTGAAACACCATAATTTTTAAATTATCCAGGCCTTTTTCCTACATAAAATATTCTTTGGGCCTGTTATTTGATTTATATCTACATCAAGTCATCTGAATCAATTATGGCTTAGATTCTGCATGTATACCCAAATAAAAGAAAGCATTTCAAAATATTTTTCTAAGAAGTTAAATGTTAATATACTAAAACATTTGAATCATTTTCCTCAGGCATTAACAACATTAAAATAAAAATCCCTATTCCTCTGATTCTGAAAAGGAAGATTATAATAATAATGAACATGAATTACTCATAATGTTAATAAAAAATAGTGTGCTAGAGGCTGATCTGAGGATAAAGACCTTTTTCTATAAATGTGCAATCATAATTATCTGGCTACTCCATAACAGAATTATGTGTGTAGTGTGTATAGTTAAGGGAAAGTGATTAGAGGTGGTTTTGATATGCAGTTAAAAGCTCTTTCCAAGTTGTTTCGCATGACAATCCACTTAGCTAAGCAATGTTACTGGTCATATCTATAGCTCCAAAAGTCTAGATGTTATTCACATTTAATATGATTTGCCACTGGGATTCTCTTAAAAACAAGTGAAATTACCTGAATAACAAGATATCTTTGAGGGTCTCGGGCCATCCTTGAAAATTCAGCAGCCAGTTCCTTGAATTTAGGTCTACTGTCGGCATCAATCATCCAACCTGGAAATTCACACACAATCAAAATGTTACTATATCCACAATTAGGAAAAGGAAAATGTGAAAAATATTGTTACAATATGATTTGAAAAATAAGAAAACAAAAGAAATAATCCAATATGTAAGGTTCTATCTCAGTCAGTTGATTTTTAATGCCATGTAATATGCTATAAAATAATGTATAAAATTTTTATTTTGTTGATCTGATTTAAAGCTTATTTTTCTTAGAAAATAGAACATGGGTAATTATGACAATCTAAGGTATTTTTCACTAATGTGATATTTTTAAAAAACATTTGCTTTGATGGTTATAAATGTGTTGATTGGGATATTTATCATTTTGTGACAGGAGTGACATGGAAGAAAAGATTTGGTTGCAAAAGTCTGCAGTGCAATAAAGAGGAAAAACAGGAATAGAGAGCATGTTTCTCATGCTACCTTTCCTCTGGTGGAAAAAAGTAAAGCCAAGGGATTGGTAATGTTTGTTCAGCAATGGCCATTAGCTTATCTTGGTGCCAACCTTTCCAGCATAAAAGTGCTATCAGAAAATTTCAGGGTATGCATTATTATGCCACTGAGTGTCTAGACAAAGTGGGTCTTATCTCCCCAGGCTGTGTTTATAAACCTGAGGTGATGACAAGAAAAAAGGTATCAAATTTCCCTTGATTTTCTTGCTTAATGAATCTCTTCTACCTAAATTTTAATTCTCCAAAACAGAAGGGGTAAAACTTTCTATTAGTAAATTTTTCTTGGCTTTATATTATTTTATGAAAGTTTCTAAATCATTCCCTATGTTGGTTACATGATCAATTTATAAAATACATGCATGTGTCTAAACTTTATCGCAGAGATGTATATCCAGCAATGTTTGATCAAATAAAGCTATTGTTTGTTTCTTTGTTTTCTAGGAATTCAATCTTTATTCTTGATCTAAAAATCCTCTGCTATAAGTTTACACATCATTACCACTACCTGCCTTTTTTCCTTCTAATAAAGCTCCAAAGGTCTATGTTCTACATGCATTCATATTTTAAAAATGCTTGCTGATGCCAAGATGCTAATGCAAAAATAGGCCTTTCTGGAACTATTGGAGTCAAAAAAGGTTAACTTTGCAGTGAGTATTGGTTTCTCTCTAAGTAAATATTGAGTAAATAGAACTATGCTTTAAGAAAAGGGCATGCTGACCTGAACTGCAAAGAACATTTTTTATTTCTTCCCTCACTGTCAGAATGCATCACACATGTCATGAATATAAATCTGAGTAGACCAGGGTCCAAAGTCTCTTATTAATAAGATGCTTATTCACCTTCACCAGTTTGTTTCTTTGCTAAACCTGAGTAAATCAAAAGGGGAAAACCCCAGATTATACTAGGGAGATTGCTGCACGTTAATCTTACTTAAATTAAGTCAGGAACTCCAGAGACTTCCCTAATTCTATTTAAATTAAGGGCCTAGGCTTCCAAAACACATTTATAATACATATGTGTCTGGGGCAAAGGAAGGGGAATGAAAAGCAAGACAGTTTGATGTAAACAAATGATCAAATTGAAAAAATAAGTAAATACTCATAACCTTTTTCATTCAATGTGGATTCATTTCTCCCCACTTATTGCTTTCTCTTGACTAAAACTGTTAGGTCTATTTCTGTTAGATTCAGTTTTTAAAAAACTATCAGTTTTTAGCTTTCTCTATGTTTAAATCATTATTCAAATAATTTATTTAGTTATATTTCCCATTAACATTGCTAACATTAATGTACTTAGTAACAGTATTGTGACTAGCTATCATTTCATGACAATTTTACTGTCATGGAAATGATATGAATAAGGAGTATAAGAGTCAGATAAATTTGATATCACATCACAGCATGGAAGCATGATATTGCTTTACATGAACAATAATCACATCAAACACAAGTGTTTACAAGCTCCTTGCACAATTGTTTATGAACTGTTATATTTCTCAAACAAGAGAATCATTTTTTTCCAGGAACATAATGATAATTATAAAAATTTAACATACAGGCAATTCTTAGCATTTGCATGTATTTACAGTATATGCAAAACCACAAAAAGCATTTTTCTGTTTTTTAGGCAGATAGATTATATCAGTGTGTACTTCCCCAAAGCAAAACCTAATACTAAAACTTATGACCTTGACATTTTTAGAGATACAGTTCCAGAAATGGGAGTTAGTCCAAAGGGCGTAACTAGGAATGACAGCAAGCACTCACAAATGAGTGTAACTGAGCTAGCTACCCCAAGCTGAAGTAGCTACTCTGTCTTGCAATCCCATATTTCAGATGAATTTCAGCGACTTTATTTTTTTGCATTCAATCTTATTTATTTATTTATTTATTTTCTATTTGTTTGCATGCATTTCATAACTACAACTTTAGGAACATAGTAATTCTTTCCACTGTACCCACCCTCCCAGCCACATTCCCACCCCTGTTCCCCTTCCCTCTCCTGTTCCCAGTCTTGTTTTTTACTAAGACCTATTTTAAATTTATACATAGAAGATTAACTCTATTCTAGGTAAAGAGTTCAATACTTTGTATAAGTACAAAAAAAAGAGAAAGAGAAAAACAAAACAAAACAAACAAAACACTAAAAAAATAATAAAAACAAGAACAAGACTGTTCCTCCACAGTCCGGACAAGGGCTGCTCAAAGTCATTGCATCTAGAAGGTAATTTCACTTTTTTTTCCCGAAACTTAATTATCCTTAAAGAAGAACTTAAGAATGATACATCTTCTGTGAGCACTTAGACGTAACAATATTTCTGAGACATAAAAATATCCTCTACTTAATACACTAAAAGTAATTCTTTGAGAACAAGTATTACTATTAAGTCTCATAATACAACTCTTTGAGGACAGAGGTCATGCATGGGAGGTTAGTGCACAGTGACTCCTGTTGTTTATTTAACAATGAACACTCTTATGTATGATGTCAGTGATCACTCAAGGTTCTTGACATGAGCTACCTAGGCTATGGAAGCCTTTTGGATCCACAAACTCCTTCAGTATTGCGACAAGACCACAGGCAAAGTGGAAGCTCTTTCCTCACCTCAGAGGAAAATACATCCTTCTTTGGTGGCCACTTCAGAGAAACATTTTACAAATAGAGAGATATGGATAATTATTTGCTAAGAATGATGAAGATGATGATAGTAGTATTTTGAGATCTTACATTTGACCATGACCATGTAAACATCGATAGTGCAGATGGGAGGCTGAGGCAAACGTTCTCCTTTCTCTAATAAATCAGGAATTTCTCGGGTTGGAATTCCATCATAGGGTTTTCCTCCAAAGGTCATCAGTTCCCATATAGTTACTCCTGCATTGGAGATGAAATTCTTACATAAGCATATTAACAAGATAGTTGCAGAAATCAGCAAAGTGCCTGTGATAAAAGAAAGCTTTGTAAAGACCTATTACAAAAGAGTTCCAAGAAAGGCTTTTCAGATTCCTATGCCTTTATGAGAATCTGAATGCCAAAATCTTTGCGGAGGATTCAATTCTCATACTATTGTCTTGGAATTTCTAATCAATAGCTGAAATAATTTAAATTGTGTATTAGAATATAGAATCTGTTTCTGATTTGTACTTCTAAGTAACACTTTTTACTGATCCAAGTTGTGTTTCACTATACCAAATTATAGCCCCAGTTAACTTGTTATATACATATGTATTTTTGTATCAAATAAATATGACTGATATTAGTTTTGAGATTAGCCTCTCTGCTATAAAAGCCCTTAAAGGAAATTAAGATACCTGAATGATAGATTACTTTAAATTATGGCAAGGAATTTTAGACCTTTTTAACTGGTACCAAAAAATAACAGGAATAAAACAGACTCATTTCTTTAGCACATATGGGAGGTTGAGTGAGGAGCGATCCATATGTCAAGTACTATAGGCAAAGTGGACATCCATGAAATAGAAGTGAATTAAGAGCAATTTATTCCTTAGATAATGACATTACTTCCTTGAGTTACAAGAACACTGATTTCCTCTGAAAAATCAAATACCTAAATGTTAGTATGCAATGAGCCTGTTATTATAATAATGATCCTGATGTATGCAATAAAATATGCACTACAGATCTCCTCTCTACAATATGATAATTACATACATAAAATTCACATTTTTCTTAAAAATAAAGATGCTTAAGTATAGAAATAGCTAAGTGGGCATAATAATATTACAAAGTGAATTTTGATCAATGCTTGTATACAACAGTCTTTTAATACAAAAAATCCATTAATTAGAACCATACTTTATTTCCACTACCATCTCCAATGAATCATTAATTCAATTAATGCCTTCTTTGGTTATAACATTTGCCATTTCCTGATGATAAAAATACAAAAATACAAGACATAAAAGTGTATGTCAATTTTATGATGTTTTGTTAATGTTTATAACTTATGATTCTCAAGTATAACATAAATATATAACTAGTGGTACATTTTAACTGCATGATCTTTATTAAGCCTTAATTTTGCATATCAAGGAGTGAGCTTCATAGAACCAATGTTTGTTTGTTTGTTTTGACAGGCAGAGTTAGACAGTGAGAGAGAGAGAGAAGAGAGTGAGAGTTATAGACAGTGAGAGAAACACGGAGAGAAAGGTCTTCCTTCCATTGGTTCACTCCCCAAATGGACACCATGGCCAGCGCTGCACCGATCCGAAGCCAGGAGCAAGGTGCTTCCTCCTGGTCTTCCATGCAGGTGCAGGCACCCAAACACTTGGGCCATCCTCCACTGCCCTCCCGGGCCACAGCAGAGAGCTGGACTGGAAGAAGAGCAACTGAAACAGAATCTGGCGCCCCAACTGGGACTAGAACCCAGGGTACCGGCGCCGCAGACAGAGGATTAGCCAAGTGAGCCACGGCGCCTGCCAGAACCAATGTTTTTAAAATCCAGTGTCCATGAGGCACACTGGATAAAAGTGAGAAGTGTATGACTTTTCTTTTGTAGTCAATATCATACATTTACAGTATATATTTTATTAAAATATTTTATCAGGTAGGCAATTATAATAGAGAAAGTAGCAGGTCGGAGCTGTGGCATAGTGGGTAATGCCACAGCCTGTAGTGTCAGTACCCCAGATGGGTGCTGGTTCGAGTCCTGGCTGCTCCATTTCTGATCCAGCTCTCTGCTATGGCCTGGGAAAGCAGTAGAAGATGGCCCAAGTCCCTTGGGTCCTTGCACCTATGTGGAAGACCCGAAAGAAGCGCCTGGCTTCGGATAAGTGCAGCTCTGGCCATTGTGGCCATCTGCGGAGTGAACCAGTGATGAAAGACCTTTCTCTCTCTTTCTTTCTCTCTCTCTCTCTCTGGCTCTACCTCTCTCTGTAATTCTGTCTTTCAAATAAATAAAATAAATTTAAGAAATAGAGTAGATGCTCTCATATCTCTGTCAAAACTTCCAATTTAAGCGTGAAATAAAGCAATTAAAATCAAAATAACAGAAAATATCCTATAGAAGTATATAAACACACACATAAAAAAAACTTGAAACATCAGAATCACCACTTCTTTCTATAATAATCCATTTACTTTGTTGTGGAGATAATAATATGTAGTTAAACAAGGATGGCTTCATGTAAAAGGAAAACTTACTAAGAAGCATACTCAAAACTTACATTGCAATTCCATAATTTGAAGAGATTCATATTAGAGTTCATTCATATTTTTATCAAAATAAAAATGTACCCAATGGTGATTTTCCATAGTGCTACAGTGTAAAAAAGTATATTTCTCTCTGCCTTCTAGAATTTTTGCCATCAATTATGATACATCCTAAAAATCTTAGCATGCCTTATGAATATGGGTTGATGACCCAAACAATGTTTCAAAATGGAGTTTTCTCTCTCTTTCTGTATAGTCTCTTTCTCTCTCTTTCATCATCATCATCATCATCATCATCATCATCATTTATCATTTATCATTTATCTTTACTGAATACTTTTGGGATTTTGCCACTCAACATGAGGAAACTATTATAGCCTGAATAACAGAATTTTCCCAAAAGACAAATGTTACTATTAAAAATATAATTGTTTTGTCCACATTTGTTTCTTTATTTCGTTGTTTTAAGGTCACTTAAAATTTGCGTATATGGGCCACCATTGTGGCACAGCAGGTAAAGTGGCTGCCTCAGATGCCAGCATCCCATATGGGCACTGATATGGGTCCATGCTGTTCCAGATCCACTCCAGGTCCCTGCTAATGGCTTAGAAAAACAGCAGAAGATGGCCTAAGTGCTAGGACGCCTGTCATCCACATGGGAGACCTGACGAAAGCTCCTGGTTCCTGACTTCAGTTTGGCCCAGCCCTAGCCATTGCAGCCAACTGGGAAGTAAACCAGTGGATGAAATCTCTCTCTCTCTCTCTCTCTCTCTCTCTCTCTCTCTCTCTGTCTCTCTTAATCTCTCTATAACTCTTAGATAAATAAATAAATCATTTTTTTAATTTGCCTAGAGCAGATTGCCACATCTAAGGGAAACTTAGTAGAAAATAGAAACAAAAACAAAAAATATATAGTACACCATATAATATCTATGTTATGATGATATATAAATTTCCATATAGTATCTGTTTATCTATATCGCATAGTATTTACTATAACCTTTATCATGTAATATATAAATGCTAATATTCTAATCTGCATAACACATTTCATGTAATATATGTTTATTTTCTATGTATCATGTAATATCTACATATCTATAGTAGCTATATATATCTATATATTCTATGTATCATGTAATTTATATATACTTACTTTTTATACTAGTTTAAAAACTAAATTTCTCCAAGTATGCTCATGTCTACACCTCAAGCACATCATATTTTCTGTTTCTAAGCTGAATAGAACACATGCAGCTTTCATGGAAATTGTAGTGCCTCCCATGGCATACACATAGACAGAAAAATCCACTTTATTTAAATATTTTAAATAATTGTTTAAAATTAAAAAGGTAAACCTAAGCTTATGTTTCAATTAAATGAATTGTACCATATTTTAAATCCTACCACCACAAATTGCTACCAAAGCAGACCTATAGCACATAGCTATTAATAGATAGTTAGTAGAGATATTATTATAACACATTTTAAAGAACCAGGAAATTACAAAACAAGCAGATGCTAGAGTATTTTTTAATTAGAGAGTTAAGAGTTAATTTTAGAATATGACTCTTATAAAAAGAATATGATTTAGAATATGATTCTTATAAAAAGGTTTCTTTAATACAACAAAATATTTGGTTTAAGATATTGTATACAAGCAGCATATGTTTTCTTAAAAGCGTTAATTCACAAGGAAGATTTATTTACCATAGCTCCAAACGTCACTCTGGTGGGTGAATTTCCTATAATGTATACACTCCAAAGCCATCCATTTGATTGGCATCTATTAAAAAAAAGTGAAAGTTTTATAGTATATAAAATGATTTCTATATTTATTTCCCAAATGTCAGTTTCTTAACTGACCTCAACTATATTTTTTGATTGTGTATAGATAAAAATAAAGAATATTTCAAAAATTTCATGGAAATTGGAATTACAAGACAAATTTTTTGGGGTGTAAAAGATTTTTTTTTAAATCTATTAATTTAAGGAGTCTTCAAATAACTCATGGGAAATCCATAGTATAAAAAATAAGCATGGATTTTAAATTTTTTTATCAAAATAAATGATGTTTAGTTCAATTTTCCATGAATTCTTTGAAAACCCCCCATGTGCATATATATATGTATATATGTTAAAAATAGTATATATATATATATATTTTAACATAAGGAACAAATAAATTCAGTTTTATTAAATTCAAGTGAATTAACTCAGATGTGCTATATTTAGCTTTTTGAATAAAAGCTTCATAAAATGTGTAAACTAAGGAATTAGGAATAATTTTTATACCTCACAATGTTCAGTAATTAAGTTACTATTTAATATTATAAACAAGATATCAACTCTAAACGGCTAACTTGCATTCTTCTAAAATTGTGTTCCCGTTTTTTTTTCTCCAAAGAAAATAACATTTTTCACATTTTCAGTTATCCTTTTTCACACTTAGACACATTTTGGGAAACTTATACAATGAACTTTTTCTACAATTGCACCCTCACTTTCTCCTCTCAATATAATTCAGTCACTAAATTGCTTCAAGTCATGCATTCCAGAGGTAGCTTTGCTTTGTTCTCCAGCTACAAATGACCTCCCTTGTCTTGGTTAGCCAGAATTGAAACTATGTACCATTTCCAGAATAGGAACCACATAAAACAGTGTGAGAGAAATCAGCACAAATCCATCATCACTACAAGAAAAACAACTCAACCACATACCCTGCTCACGATGGGTCAGCAGAATGCATTTCAACTACGAAGGACAGCATTATATAGCTGGGAATATAATTAGGTTCTACAGAATAAAGATAAACACTTCTACTTTGCAGTTGAAAGCTGAAAACTAAATAGGCCTTTGAAATCATGAGGTTGGCTGCTCACCAAGGTGACACCAAGGTAACTCTATGATAGAATCATGGTATTCAGTGAAAGGGAACAGAAGACACATTGAAAATAATTTCCCTATGGGCAAGGAGTTAGCTGACTTTATGGACTACAGACATTGTGTTAAGAAGAAAGTGTAAATCACAGGTGGCTTGATAAAGATTTAATGGTTACCAGGCATTTAACGCGATAATGAATCTCGCTTTAGACAAACCTTACAGCTGCATGTTCTCGAGACAAGTGAAGTCATGTAATTTATAGATTTCTACATTTATGCAATCTTGTAGTGAATTTCAAAGCCTCAGTCTCAAACTCCTGAAATTTTATAGTAAACAAGCAAAATAGGCTAATAAAATCAAGGAAAATCAGACAACTCCACAAAATTGAACTTTTTTAAAGAAAAGTGTGATATTTTGACTTGTGAAAGGTTTGAATACAAAGAGATATACAAGAGTTTAGGATAAAAATCAGTGTTCAGCATTTGAAAACCTAACATTGTAAAATATTTATAACATACATTTTGGACAGTCCATGATAAATATGGCTCATGATAAACATATTTATATGACATGTGAGTAATGTCAATGTGTAAGTTTATGAGTCACCATAGATCAGACTGTATTTGGATATTTCATTCTGCCTATCCAGACCTAGGATTCTCTAAAGCATCTCCATATGAAGGCTACCCTAACTGATTCACTAAGAATGGCAATCAGGGGGCAGCACAGCAGATCAAGCAGTCCCTTGCAATCCCAGTATACCATGCGAGTGCCAGTGTGAGTCCTGGCTGCAGTGCCTCCCATCCAGCTTCCCACTTACTGAGCCTGGGAAGGCAGCAGATTATGGCCCAAGGGTTTGGGTCCCTGCTACACATGTGAGAGTCCTGGAGGAATTCCTGGTTCCTGGTATTGGACTGGCCCAGGCCTGGCCGCTATGGTTATTCAGAAAGTGACCCAGCATATGGAAGATCTCTCTCTCTCTCTCTCTCTCTCTCTCTCTCTCTCTCTCCCTTTCAAACAAGTAACTAAATAAATCTTTAAAAGCAGAACAAAGCAAAAGAATGTCAAGCTGAGCAGAAACTCAAAGAGGAAATCCAAGAACTGAGGCATGGACTGAGTCCACATGGTGGTTGAGAGTCAGGAACACAGTTGTTAGGCAGATGCTGAGACTTAGCGGCTCTGTTCAGGTCCCTGGGGTAGAGCAGATTATAGTCTAGTGGACAAAGTTAGAGAGCAAGGAAAACAGTAAACCATACACTGTGATAGAAGACAAAGAAAAAAAATGAAGCTCAATAAAAACAATCCCTTGTATCTGATTTAAAGGGATTAGAAGTTAAAAAGGTTGTCAATCTTCCAAGGAATTGTGGCGCCTTTCAGTAGCCAAGCTTCTCTCTTGTCTATGAAAACAAAGTGTGCCTCTTTATGAGCCTAAGTCCCTACTCTCAGACTGAATGGGCACTTCCTATGGTCCTGTGCTAAAGTTTAAGTTCTGGAGTTCCCCAGGATCCACTCACATATCTTCACTGGAGCTAACATGCAGACCACTTGGGTCCAGACAGGCACATGCATTGCTTTGCTTCAGTTACCTTTGAGAAATGGAAACTGGAGATATATCTACCCATAGATACATAATAAATACCTATCTACCTATGGATAGATAAGACAGATATCAATATAGATATAGAGGATATATAGTTCGATGATATAGATATAGATATAGATATAGATATAGATACACACACATACACACACATTTGATCCTGGGCAGAAAAAAAGGCAAATATTAGAGGACTTTATAATCTCCTAAACCTCAGGCTCAATCATTTCTTCCCATAAAGTACAGAGATAAAATGCTATTATAGTCTACTTTCAAACTATATCGCTCTCAAAAAGATACCTACCTTTCCTCCATCAGCATTATACTCTTTTTCATCTCCTTCCAAGAGTCTGGCCAGTCCAAAATCTGTGATTTTCACATGGTTTGGAGATTTTACTAAAACATTACGGGCTGCCAAATCCCGATGAACAAGCCGTCTTTCTTCCAGGTACATCATTCCCTGAAAAACAGCAAGTTCCCAACAATAGTTGGCTAATGCCTACATACATTTTTCCATATACTGAAAAGGAGTCTCTTAGCATTCAGTTGAAAGTGCTTGATTTCTTCAAGTGTAGCCAGAATACTGGAAAATTTTCAAAACACCAGAAAACCTGGGGGGAAAAAGCCAACCTCAAGTAGTTTTTGCCTTTCCCCTTTAAAGATGAATGAATTACCTGCACATGAGCTAAATGTTAGATCATTTTTTTCCTTCAGATTTGATATCTTTTCACAAACACTTTCATTAGTGAGGTGTGCAGGTGTCTAAGTAGATCAGCTAACAAATACTTGGACTGACCCACAAATTCCTAATCATTTTCTTCTCAGTAACTTCTGTTTATTGTCCTCTTCCTCATACATCCATTTCAAACAAATATACCTATCTATAATTTAAAAAACTATTTCACTCATGAAATAATAGTGTTAAAATCACCACTGTAAGTTCAGTAGAGGCCAGATAATTATAGAATTTTTATTAATTATGCACAGAATGAAGTGTACCCTAGGGGTCTTAAAAGTCTTTCATGACATTAGCAGTCATTATAAGAATTGCATAGTTTATAATGGCCCACAAATTAGCCTTTAATTTGCTGTCTTCATAAAATATATAAGCAAATTTAAAAATAAGATTTATTGATGATTGACAAAAGGTAAACTAGTTGGCTCTCACCCACAATATATATTATATATATGTATATGTATATTAATACACACATATCTTATACACTGTATCTATATATTTAGAAAAATAATATAATCCATAGAAGTAATAATTAGTTTATTAATTTTACTTCATTAGTAGCAAAACAGAGTTATTAAATCTTATCCTTAGCTAAATGTTTATATAACACTAAGGAAATAAACTCAGAGGCCTACATTAGGTTAGATTACAGTGAAGATATCTTTAATGAAGAGTTAGGGAAAATTCTATATTTGATGATTTCAATGATAAAAGTCACCATTCAAAAACAGATCAAAATTATTACAAAATGGCTGCAGCACAGTCTTCTGCCAATTGCAAATCAATGCTTTTGGCAGTTAACATTACAACTTCAGGGCTCTGATGGATTAATGGTTTCTGATATCAAAACAAAAGCTGTAGAAAGCAGACATATAAATCATACAGGTCAAAAAATAATGAACCGTATGCCCAGTGTAGTGTAAAGAGAAGATTGCTTCAAACAGCATCATGAGCCAAGCTCCATATAAATGCCCATTAAACACAGCCAATGGAGATAACACCTGATATGATCCAATCAGTCAGCAGTTAGGTGACACTGGATGTATTAGTGTTTTCTGAAATCAACTCACAAGTGGAATTTATGGGATTTTTGCCCTCTTTCCTGAATAGTGCTTTTTTTTTTTTTTTTAACAGGCAGAGTGGACAGTGAGAAAGAGAGAGAGACAGAGAGAAAGGTCTTCCTTTGCCGTTGGTTCACCCTCCAATGGCCGCTGTGGCCAGCGCACCATGCTGATCTGAAGCCAGGAGCCAGGTGCTTCTCCTGGTCTCCCATCGGGTGCAGGGCCCAAGCACTTGGGCCATCCTCCACTGCACTCCCTGGCCACAGCAGAGAGCTGGCCTGGAAGAGGGGCAACCGGACAGAATCTGGCGCCCCGACCGGGACTAGAACCCAGAGTGCCGGCGCAGCTAGGTGGAGGATTAGCCTAGTGAGCCGCGGCGCCGGCCTTGAATAGTGTTTTCTGACTACATCAAAATAGACATTCCTAGAGTAAGATAAATTGAGATGATATAGCCCTTACATGACTTTAAAAAATCAAAAAACAAACTTACTGCTTGGAGATAAAGCATCTTCATGTCTCCTCAAATAATTTTGTTCTTTTAAGAAATGTCCACAAGACATTCATTATTGTCTGTCTTACCATATTCATATCAGAATATGGAAAGTGTGTTGGTATTAGGTTAATATTCAGATCCACACACATTTATAGAACACACACTAGCATGTACCCATTAAAGGTATTTGATCTCCAGTTTTCTAGACTTGCATCAGGAATTCTGTTTTTATCATTTATAATACTCCTCTGCCTTCTTCATGTATGAGTAACTGACTCTTCAACTAATTGATGCCAGAAGTAATACTATGAGGAAAATATTTCCAAGATATGCTTATAAAATGAAATATGAAACATAATGAAAGATTATCCTTGGTGATTGATTGAATAATGAAGAAGAGTAAATTGAGAATGATTCTGCTTTACTTTTTACTTTCATAATTTAACTAGATAATGATTCCTTGAGTTAAATATCATACTATGAGAAATATCACTTATGTATTTTTTAAACATATTCAGCAATAGTGATATATATTATACCACTAAGGAACCAACTCACATTCACTATGAAATTTACACTTGATCTTAGCCAAAAGGCTGAGAAGTGATCACTATGAAATTTTAGATTGTGCAATGGTTAGAATGCTTATATCTCCACCCATTCATATTTTAAACCCTAACACCCAAAGTGATGGTATTTGCAGGTGTGGACTTTGTGTGGTGAATTAATGAGAGCATCAGCCTTCTTAATGGTATTAATGATCTTTGAAAGAGACACCAGACTGATCTCATGTTCTCTCAATGAAATAAAGCCATAGTGGCTATTAACAGCAAGGAAGTGGGTCCTCACAGAACACCGAATTTACCAGTTCCATGCCTTGCTGTTTCTAGCTGCCAGAATTGTGAAAAAATAAATTTCTGTTGTTTATAAGTCATCTAATGCATAGTATTTTATTATAGCAGATTAAGGTACTCTAATGGCCCATTCTACAACACAAGCAAAACTTCAAAACTCCAATAGTCCTTTGATACTCTACACACAAAACCTCAGCATGTGAGAAACTACCTTGAACCTTAATACTGTTTGTCCAGAAAAAGTGTCTTTAAAAATAATGAGAACTCACTATAGGAGGCTAGGTGAAAAATCTCTGCAATATTTCTCTCCCCTAGCTGATCATCACTGAAAGAAATAAAAACAGAAGCTTCTACATCAACAACACCAAATCATCAAAATACATTTGTAGAGTTGCTTTGTAACTAGAAAACATGATTGTCCAGATGGATGCTTCCAAGTCAGTAATTATGATTGCCACCTCAAGTTCTACTTTCACACCCTGAATAAGTGTTGAATTATCTGTGGATTTCTCACAATGTATTTCTCTGCATTACAGTCATTAAGATAGGATTTTCTTACTGGAAGATTTCTAATGAGTCACATTCTTTGATAGATCCACCAATATGAAATCACTCTAATTTAAAGTGATGGAACTGAAGAGGCACAGAGTTATTAGAAATAGCAGTGAAAAAATTAAACCATATGAAGTCCCTGGAAGTTTAAAAATGAATAAAGAGGAGTCATTCATTGTAGTTAGAGGGATGATGACTTGTTTGGGGGAAAAAAAGAACCCTCATACTCTGCCCTGTAGCATCCCCCATGTTCTTTGTAGTCCATCTCAAGTAGAGTAGATTATGGGAACATTAATACCAACAATAAACATAGCTAATATCAACCCAATGCTTAGGACACAACAGACACTAAATGCAATGCTTCTACTTTGGTTGGTTAGCTGAATCCCATTAGTTTTGCACTGTTTGCATGCCATTTCAAATACAAAAATGCCAAAATTATGAGAAGTGGAGTTTCTTTCTCCAAACAACCTAGGTGGGAATTGGTTCCTTGCTGTAGGACTAAACAATTGAGCCTATCTCTTCTCATCATGGGCAACAGAATAATACAGACACATAGAAATTAACATACTCAGCTGTAAAAGATCCTAGTGGTTTCATGGGGAAAAAAATCTGAGTTTTCTATGAATTGAAGGCTGTAATGCAGGTTATTGAATTTATTCATATTTAACATCTAGTTAAATTATAGAAACTCTTATAGTTTCAAAGGAATTTTAATTGTATGGTTTGGAGACTCCATTCTTGCTCTGGCCATAGGGAAAATAAGGTTGTTGGAACTGGAATGGATGTAGATTCTACAGTCAATTTCTTGGTTCAAACCCCAGTTTTGCCATATTGTAGATGTGTGGTCCTAAGTAAATTATTTAACCTTTCTGTTATCATTTTTCTCCTCATTTAATAAACACAATAGCATCTATCACAGTTTGCTGTGAGGGTTAATTAGCATGCATAATACACTCAAATACTAACTGGCATATAGTAAGCACAGAACATACAAACCTTGATTATTGTTCCACAAATAAATATCAACCATCTGAGAATGGACAAGAATTGCTTTCTCTCATTAACTTGAATTGCCTCTTTCAGAAAATCCGTGAACCTCAGCTAATACATCACAGTGGGTGTTCAATAAACATTTGCACATTGTGATAAATATACCCATATCCTGCCCATCGTGATTAATATGCAGATACACATTTCAGAATTATTGTTATTCAAAGTGTTATTTAAATCCTGGTTTTCCTGAGGGAGCTGTCATATAAGGAGAAAGAAAAAATTGGGGGATGTATTAGAAGATTTTGTGCTCTCCAAAAAATATATTTGATTTCAGGAGTTTAGTGAAGAAAAACGTCATGGACAAGATAGATGTAAAAGTCTTAATAGATAGTGAGGTGAAGTCTCCCAAATTATCTGTCACTAATCACCCAGAACAAAGGCAAAGTTTCAGTGGATAGGTTTTGGGTGATATTTTGTATACTTCACAATTCACATATTACAGCCCAATTTTATTATAACTGCTAAGAATTTACCATTACGAGAACTATTCAAAATTTAACATTTTTCATACCTTCTAGGGATGTGATGTCTGCAAAGATATGCATCACATATATACACACTAGTTAGAGATGGTCAAATTTTATTCTTGATCTTCAGAAATGCACTTTGATATAAAACTCAAAGAAATTTTTATTATAATTGAATTTAACATTTTAATATCGTTCAGAAATAACTCACATATAGGGCTCCTTGGAAAAAAATCAA